TCAAAAATATAAAAGAAACCGTTGCAATTTTTCTATGTGTTACAACAAGTATTATTTCGACTGCCTTGAAATAGCGATGAATATGGATGAAGACTGGGAGTTGCAATTTGCAAATTGGCATTCATTCACCAGTTCCGGGACGAGATATCGTGATTATAAAGCAGAAACTTAACTTTCCAATGTCTGCCACAGACTTCGGTCAAGCATATTATCATTTATCGACATTTAACAATCCCATTAAGACACACGATCCGCCTTTCTAGATATCACTCAAATTTCCGTCAATTAAATATTTTAAATACTGCCATTTCCTTCCTAGACTTCCTAAGTAGCATGGAAGCAAATAGACAAATATACGACTTCCCCACCAAAGAAGACGTAATTGGTTCAGCGGTGGCTTTAGTTCGGCTACAGGACACTTACAAACTGGAGGTTGCCGAACTGGCGAGCGGTATTTTGAACGGCATTAAATATGGGTGAGCCAGCTATAATAAGTCATAAAAAAATCATGTTAAAAAAACAAATCTCAATACTTTGTATAGTCCTTCAATGTCATGGCAGGATTGCTTTCTACTCGGTCATCATCTATATGAAATACAAGATTTCAACCACACCGTTCCTTGGCTTAAACAGTCCATGCAAATGCTCAAAAGTCAGGACGCCACTAAAGATGCGGTGACGTTGGATTTCATGGAAACAGTTGTAGCCTATCATCGCGAAATGGGTGAGGGCGTGAGAGAATACTTGAGAAGTAACAAAAGTAATGGATACAAACTTGATGACTTTACATTCTTCAATAGGTGACTTTGAGACTGCTTTGGAATTAACTAATTATATTTTGTCGTTTGATGCGACACGCAAGCAAATGAGCGATACCAAGTACTATTTGGAGCGTATGGTCAGCGACGGTATTAAGGCCGGGTTAATGCATGAAATAATACCACAGGCGGGTGACTACCATGTGAGTTGCCAATAAATTACTCTGTCAATTGATTCTAAAGCTTCTGTGTCACACATAACTTAGCTCAGCAGTGATTTCAAGCGCTACGAGCAGGTGTGTCGTGGTGAATTGCAGCTCACTGCGGCCGAAGTGCGTCCCCTGCGTTGTCGCTATGATAGTAACAATGTGCCTTATCGTCTGTTACAACCGTACAAAGTGGAGGAGCTCTACCTGGACCCGAGGGTGGTGCAAATACATGATGTACTCACCACCAACAACACAGATGCCGTAAAGCAGTTGGCCAAAACTCGTATGTCCCGGTCGCAAGTACGAAATCTGGATGGTAGCGCTGCGTCGTCGGCCAATTATCGGATCAGCAAGAGCGCCTGGTTTCATTATGAAGAGAGTGAGCAAATGCAGAAAATGTTGCGACACATGGGCGATCTGTCGGGTTTGAATATGGATTATGCCGAGCACTTACAGGTGGCCAACTATGGTATCGGCGGGCACTACGAACCGCATTTCGACTTTTTTACAGTATGTGTAAACTAAATACATATAATATTGAAAGTGATATTGTGATTTTGTTTATATATGATTTTTTTTTATTACTTTTAATACTTTGTTTCTCTAGGATAATTGTACTTATAACTTATCGGATGGAAATCGTATCGCCACTGGCATATTTTATGTAAGTTCGTGTTAGAAAAAAAAAAAAAAAAAAAAAAAAATTTTGTGTAACTATGTAATTTATATAACCGGCATCTTCTACGCTAATTCTTGATTCAGCTCTCGGATGTTGAGGAAGGTGGCGGCACCGCTTTTCCCTATCTTCGCTTGGTTGTTAAGCCACAGCATGGAAGCGTGCTACTCTGGTACAATTTACATCGTTCCGAGGAGCCCGATTATCGGACTCGTCATGCAGCCTGCCCGGTGTTGAAGGGCTCTAAATGGAGTGCGTACATTTCTCATAAGTTTTTAACGCTCCACGAAATATAAATTTTAACGGAATACTTTGTATTTAATTTTCAGTTGGTAATATTTGGGTACGCGTACGCAATCAGGACCGTGCCCGGCCATGTGATCTTTTACCTGATCACGAAGTGTCGCTGAAATATAAACATGTGGTTTAAGTATGCCTCAAATGCCTTTATATTTATATGTATTTGCTCTATAAAAGTATTTATGTTATGTTATTTGTTTTCTGAAACAAATTTATGTATATAAAATATTTTTTATCTCAACTATTGTGATTTTTAGGTTTAAATAAAGATTTATTAGTGTATACCGTTATTATAACTGTGGAGTTATATGCCATAAGTCGATTTTAGCTATTTCCGCTGTCAATTTATATATATGGACTGCATTTTAGTCTAATATTGATTCTGGGTAAAACACTCGATACCTATCGATATAATATACGCCAACTAGTAATTCCGTTTTTAAGATTTTTCTCTTCACGAATCTGTTCAATTATCAGCAGCGCCGATATCGGACCACTATAGCCTATTGCTGTTATACACACTGAATTAAGGGGTTTTCAATAAGAGCTCTACAAATGAAATTCTTTATTCCTATGAAAGTATATTCGATGCCATTATGTAAGGAGCTCTATTTCTTTTGCATGGTCACCATGGGCACGCTTTCAGAAGTCCAGACGCTGAACTCAATTTTGCACTGTTTCCTAGCATAAATCGGCCGACACTGCTCCATTTTCACGTTCGATATTAGTATGAAGTTCATTAGTCGACGTTGGCTAGTTGACATAGACCATAAACTTGACGTAGCCCCACAGGAAATAGTCTAACGGTAACAAATCGCACGACGGAGGCAGCCAATAGATCGGGCCATTCGTGAGATAACAAGTTCACCAAACATGGTTTTCAATAAATCGATTGTGACACTCGCTGTGTGGCTTATGGCGCCGTCCTGTTGGATCCACATAATGTGCAAGTCGATATCATCTAATTCGCGCCAATAATATTCGGTTTTCATTAAGCGGTAACGATTCCCATTCACAGTAACGTGCCGGTCTTGATCATCACGGAAGAAGTATGGCCCAATTACGACGTCGACCCATAAACGGCACCAAACCGTAATTGTTTCGGGATGTAATGGTGATTCATGGAGTACGTGGGGATTGCTGCCTGACCAATAACACATATTATGCATATTGACCAAGCCGTTCAGCCAGAAATAAGCATCACCGCTGAAGATGAATTTTCGATGAAAATCCGGTTAATTTTCAAGTTGTTGCACAGCCCAATTGACGAACATACAACGATTCTGGTGGTTAAGCGGCTTCAGTTCATGCGTCAGTTTGATCCTGTAAGGATGTAGGCCAAGATATTTTCGTAAATTTCGCTACAACGATGTCACAGAAATGTGGAATGCTTGAGAACGACTTGTGAGAGACTGATTTGGTTCTTCCTCAGTTGAAGCGCTAACGACAGCAATATCTCGTCTGTGAATTCAAATTTTTCCACTAGACGCTCAATTGTTGATCTGACAGGGCGATTATGACGATTAAAAAAAGGACGTAGCGCTCTTAAAGTTGAGGCCACTTACTCCGAATTTCGGTAGTAAATTTTAATAATTTAGACGCTTTCCAGGATGAAATGGCAAACCTCACTGAAAAGAAACATCAAAAGAGCGGGAAAATATGGCGTCGTTTGTTGTTCCTATCCGTCTACTTTATATGTCTAAGAAGGAAATAGGCGCAAGTGTGGTCTGATTTTGATTATAAACTATTATATGGTGTTCATGTCATATACTATCGGGTGATTTTTTTGAGGTTAGGATTTTCATGCATTAGTATTTGACAGATCACGTGGGATATCAGACATGGTGTCAAAGAGAAAGATGCTCAGTATGCTTTGACATTTCATCATGAATAGACTTACTAACGAGCAACGCTTGCAAATCATTGAATTTTATTACCAAAATCAGTGTTCGGTTCGAAATGTGTTTTATCGACAAATTTTGTTCAGCGATGAGGCTCATTTCTGGTTGAATGGCTACGTAAATAAGCAAAATTGCCGCATTTGGGGTGAAGAGCAACCAGAAGCCGTTCAAGAACTGCCCATGCATCCCGAAAAATGCACTGTTTGGTGTGGTTTATACGCTGGTGGAATCATTGGACCGTATTTTTTCAAAGATGCCGTTGGACGCAACGTTACGGTGAATGGCGATCGCTATCGTTCGATGCTAACAAACTTTTTGTTGCCAAAAATGGAAGAACTGAACTTGGTTGACATGTGGTTTCAACAAGATGGCGCTACATGCCACACAGCTCGCGATTCTATGGCCATTTTGAGGGAAAACTTCGGAGAACAATTCATCTCAAGAAATGGACCCGTAAGTTGGCCACCAAGATCATGCGATTTAACGCCTTTAGACTATTTTTTGTGGGGCTACGTCAAGTCTAAAGTCTACAGAAATAAGCCAGCAACTATTCCAGCTTTGGAAGACAACATTTCCGAAGAAATTCGGGCTATTCCGGCCGAAATGCTCGAAAAAGTTGCCCAAAATTGGACTTTCCGAATGGACCACCTAAGACGCAGCCGCGGTCAACATTTAAATGAAATTATCTTCAAAAAGTAAATGTCATGAACCAATCTAACGTTTCAAATAAAGAACCGATGAGATTTTGCAAATTTTATGCGTTTTTTTTTTTAAAAAAGTTATCAAGCTCTTAAAAAATCACCCGATATATATGTATATATTTTTTGTATGCTTATACATTTGTACAATATATAAATATATATATGTACTTATACTTGTATATATTTTTTGAAGTGCTAGCAATGATGTTGATTTTTTTCTGAGCTTTTTAAGTTCTTCAACAACAAACAAGTGCGACTTTAAGCCAACAAACCCAACCCAATTTTTAACACCGGTACATAATCGTATTTATAGTGCAGATGTATTTACTTTTGAATGTTTGTGTTTTTTTTTATTGCAAACACATTTATGAGACAATTTATATATATATATATATATAGTAACTAAGTTAGAAACAAAAGTAAATTATTTAACTTTTCTACCATATATACATATATATATTTTTACTTCATATATGTGCCGATTTGTAGTTGTCACGCACTAAACCACAGGGATGACTGAATTCCTGATAACCAGAATGTACCCAAATGTTACAAACTAAGAAGTAAATGAATAAGTTATTTCTATTGTGTTGGAATGTACAAGTCTTATGCATATTCGGAGCTTACTTCGCTTAGTGCCCTTGATTACAGGGCAGCCGGCATGTAGAGTGCGTCTGTCGGGATCCAGAGACTTATGCAAATTACGCCACATAATCATCGAACCCTTTACGGGTTTTGCGTAAACATTCAAGAGGGGGAATACGGTGTAACCGCCCTGCTCGACGTCAGAAGCCTGGTAATAATGACAATTTTATAAAAAGATTTTAACTCAAAATAGTGTATAATTGAACATACAAAGAATAAATGTGTTGCTATGCGATTTCCAATCCACGGAGATTTAGCTTTATGATCCTGTTAAAATGAGTTGATAAAATTGAATCAAATTAATCAAGCATTTCCGATTTTAATATATATATATTTTTTTTTTGTTTACATACAAAGTTGTCGAAAAAGTCGTGGTGTGGATCATATTGTCCGCCGATGCCATAATTTGCCACCTGCATGTCTTCAGCATTTGATAAGTCAAAACCACTTATTGCCGATACCGTACGATGGATGTATTTTAGTGTTGGACTGTGATAAGTTAGCCAGGCTTGTTGGCTGACGCGCACATCGCGAACCGTGTACTCATCTACACCACCAACACGTGAACGCACCATGTGTGCTTCAGACTGTTCCAGTACATCGTCAATGTGTTTATCACTTAGCAATCCATGATACACGACAATTTCGGGATCTGCATGCAATTCTTCTTTTCGCAAGGGTGCCAATATGAATAATGGGTGATTATGAGTATCTAATTTGCACTTGAGTTGATAACGTTCCTTTTGTTCCACTTGTTCACCTTGACACAAGCGTGAGTAGTTAGCGAACCATTCGTAACGCTGCAAATCAATCAAACTGTCGAAATCGGTGCGATTTTGTGATTCTTTTTTATTCATAAAAAGTAGCAGATCTTTAAAGGCGTGTTCCGGATTCATATCTAAGATTTCATTAATGTAAAGTTCCATTTCCTTTCGTTCGCCCAACTCATAACTGGTGAGTGCTAAATATTCTAGTGTTTCGTTTAACAATTTGTTTGCTATCAAATCTTGATCGACTGCAGACGTTTCGTTTTTGAAGTTGTCTCTTCTTTCAATTTCACTTTGATTTACTATGTTGGCATTTTCGTCCCAATCGTACAATACCACAGGAGCAAATACACCATATCGGGGTTCATAAATAAGATCTTCCGTCACATCATCTTCATCGTCGTCGTCGTCGTCACCGTCATCGTCATCATCCCCTACTCCTGCATTGTCATATTCGTCGTCATACTCTGCTTCATTTCTGTTCTTCTCTGTGTCAAGAGGCTCTTTTGCTTGTTGTATTGAATCTTCTATTCCACTCACTTCATTTGCTTCTGGCTTCGTGATCTCTTCATCGTCAACATCATTGCTAAGATCACCGTCAACATCACCGTCAAAATCATTATCAAAATCACCTGAAGTCTTAAATCTCGCAGTATCACCAATGTAAATCAGCTCCAATACTAACAGGAGCCATTCTTTTGCCAAAGGGTATTCCTTAGCTTCGAAAAGATTGCTTGCGATTTCAAAACACTCGACGAGAGAGAGTTCCGAACTTCAGAAATTGAGAGCTATTCACTTTGTTGTGGAAGAATTTTTTTTCTAAATTTGCTTACCCATAATTAACGCCATTGATGACACCATCTGCGAAATCAGTCGTACTTAAGTTATACATGATCTGCAGACGCCCTATACCTTTTGCCGCACCGCGTAGTTCTCTTAAGTCAGGAAAAGATGTTTCCGCAGTCAACGATGTCAGGTTTTCCTTAAGTGCTAAGTATGAATGGAGAACTTAATTAATTTATGATAAAAAAGGTTGGCAATCCGAAACACAATTACGGTACAATATTAAGAATCATATCATAAATTGTATTAAGATTGTTTTGAACAGTCCCTAAATTCCGTCCATTAATGGAATATAATTATATTATATATGAATTAATGTAAATAAATCCATAATTTTCTAAATTAAGGGGCTTTCTGAAACAACTATTGCGATGAAGCCAATTACAGGCACTAATGAACGTGGCAATAACAAACAATAGTTTTCGTCGAACACTCACCTTTAAGACCTTTGTTATACCCCACATTTTCCGTTATTATAACCCAGTCAACTACAATACGTTTAATTAATTTGTATGCATTTAAAGGATTACCCAGATATGCTTCTCGATCCTCCCGCGCCAATGCATGCTTCTCCTTTACTCTCTCTATGAAACTGAAATCAATATAATACAGTTAGCTATGCAATAAGGCTGGTCTTAGCAATAACTTGGCACACACTTGCGATAGACAGCAAAATCCTGCGCCTGAGAATCCAGCAAATTCCTAAACCACTGGATTAAATCTTCCTCTGCGATTGCCAGCACTGGTATGCTGTCGATTGATGAGAAGTACTCAGCTTGACACGTGACAGTCCAAAGTGTTATGAAGAGCAGTGGCAGGTAGCAGTGAAGAATTGTGGTGATTTTACCTTTAACTTTAGGCTTCGGTTTGGTTATAATTCGAAGTTCTGTTTGCGAAGCCATTTTTCAGACTTTCTTCAGTAGTGAGAATGATGCTTTAGTTCTTGACGCTTCCACTACTGTTCTTTAAATGAGAATGTATTTTTCATTACCAGTTATGACGATCAGGAAAGTGTGGCTCAAAGTAAGTCGTTTACAAAACGATTATGTGCAGTTGTTTAAGTTGACTTGGGGCTTATGTATGGTTGCGTGTATGTTACATACATTTCTATTTACCAAGAGTATGGATAAGTGATATGGAAACTATGTGTTACAGATGTACATATAATAAATACATGTATATTTTATGAAATACGTATGTTTTTCAAATTTACATATACATATGTATGTAAGCATCTAATATTTTTTTGAAAGCTGTCAGGCGCTGTTTACTTTATCTGTTATCTAAATGTTGAACTTTGTATGAACTCTATATTTGATGTGAAGTAAATGACGTAAACAAAACACAAATGTGTCTATCGTGAAATAGACAAATAATTAATTTAACTTCAAATCTTCAAGTATATACATACATACATACATAGAAAAATAGTTGACCTATTTCATTTTTTAAGAACAAAATTATAATAGTAAAATATGTACATATGTATAAAAATATTGTTATTTTGGGTTTAAGGTGTGACAGATTCTGATTTCAGTAGAATTAAACATTATTTTCGGACTTCATGATATCTCTTAGAATTTTTATGGGTTTTTATGCTAAATCCGAGAATCAGATTTCAAAACTGTCAGAAACACAAGAAAAATTTATTTAAGGGAAATTAACAGAAATAATATTATATTCTTTCCATAAAATTAAAAGGGTTTCGTATGTGAACTTTAATGTGCGTTCGAAAGGAACGGGACCCTAGCCACAGCGCTATATTCGCCTTGCTAAGCGGTAAAAGTTAATTTTAGTGAATCTAATAGGGCCGTACGAAGATCGCTAACGGAGGCTGAATTTAATAGGTATCGGCCAAGAAAAAAACCATTTTGACCCTTAAAATGCGAATATGCGCTACGGTAGCCAAAAATATACGAACTCAAAAGAAACTTTTTCAGCTCGTATGGTATAACCCACGTCTGACATAAGGTCGGAAAAGTGTTCAAAAAATGAATACCAAAACGAACGGTCATGTGAGAAGAATTTGGAAAGATTGCGGATGTTTTTTTCATATAATATCCACAAATTTATAAACATAATTTTGCTATTATATTAGTAAGCTCTAATTTTTCCTGATTTATTTTTGGTAGCAAAATATTTGAACTTTTAATTTCACAAAATTTGGTTTTCGTTGATTAGAGTACGATCTGAAATCTTACTATATTTACAGCCCAATTAAAATACAATTAGTCTTATTTGACATGCATGGATATTTTTTTTTCAATAAATTTTGAGTGACAATTGGCCGACCTGGTGTTGATATAACAAATGATATGGGTCCTTATTTTATACAAAGAGGATGATGCAGCGTTTTCATGCTATGCTAATTTTACTCGAGCGAAAAAGATAAACCATTGTTTTCTCTGAGTTTTACTATATGCTCCGCCAGCAGCAAGTAAGTCATGGAAAATTTAGACAAACGACTACCTATACTATGTTTATTATGATTCAATAAAAAATTATGAAAAGATTGTGTTTTTTATTTAATTCCAATCTTGCGTAAAGTTTGGGACGCCTTTTAGACACACACATATGTATGTATGTATATAGTATGAACTGCACAGTATCCGCAAGGGACTTATGAAGAATTTATTGCGCTTGAAAAAATCATAAACTCTTTCAGAACAGCAAAATAGGTTGCCAAATAATTGATTGAATTATCTTATGATTAATGAAAATGTTTTCTTAATTTTATGATAAATTATTTTAATTATTATAATCTGAATATATAATATTATATTTTATGTGCTTTTGGTACCAAAATGATATTAATACTTTTCTGAGTTTCTTAAGTAAATATGAAAACAAGTGTGACTCCAAACAAACACAATCCGGTCTAATTTTTAACACGAACACACACATGTGCATTTATTTTTGAATATGTGTGTAGAGAATTAATTAAATAAAAGGGTGCTATATAACGGGTGATCTAAGTAAATGTACTATTTTCAATAGTGTGTTTATAGATCACACCTGTGTCATGTCAAATTGTCATGCTGCTTTTGTTCAGTGTTGTTTAGCTTTTCTTCATGGAAAGACTTAAGCCTCAACAAGGTTTATAAATTGTTAAACTTTATTTCGAAAATTCATGCGCTTAACTTATGGTCAACATAATCGGTTTACTGAGCATTCATTATTGAATAATATACGACCGAATAGACCACGTCCAAAAAACAAAAAAGTATAGCAGCAGTAGATGAAAATATAACCGAAAACCCAGAAAAAACAATGGTTTGGTGTGGTTTGAAGGACGATAATTCCGCTTCATATTTCATCAAACATTATGCTGGTGAGAACGTAAACTTTGAAAATAAATTCAAGCACGTGATCTTGGTTTCAACAAGGCGGTGCCACTTCCCATAGATCGCTTTAATCAATGGATTTATTGAGAGACCACTTCGGTGAACAGATAGTTTCATGTTTTGGGCCGGACGGATGTGAGACGTAGCCGCGAAAGAGATAATCTTCAAGAAACAAATGCCAAAGCATGTTCTTTCGAATGATAATAAACATCCAACATTAAATTTTAAGTTTATGTGTTTTTCTTAAGGGGTTACATGGGTTTCACAGTTTCAAAAAATTGAAAATTTTTTTTTGTCTTATTAAATTCTATAACATCTCTAGAAGATTTTCCTAAATTTTCAAGTTGATCCGACTAATAGTTTCGGAGATACATCCTTGAAAAGGTGGACGCTCAAGGTCAGGTATAGGCTGGGGGCGCAGTAGGTAAAACTTTAAACGCGTTTTTCTCAAAAATATATTTTCAAAGTCGGTTGTCAAGATATTTCGCGAACTACTTAACCGATCTTGATGAAATTTTACACAGGTCATCGAGATATCATTCAAGGTCTTGCATGAAGGATTTTTTTTTTTTTTAATTACAACTATTTAATTATTTAATTACAACTATTTAAAAAAAAAATTTCGAGAAATTTTCATCGAAATTTGCATTTTTTTATAAAAACGTCTGCAAAAAATCCAATTAGCTTATTGTCTTTACTAAAATACGTATTTTTTATTTTTATTTGAGATGATCCTGAAAGAAGTTCTGCTGACAACGCGGATGCATCTTTTTTCCGAGGGACTGCCGGAAAAGGCGTCGTAGTGACTGCCATTTTGATATTTTTTTTTTTTAAATTTTACAAATTGTTTATTAAATATGAGTCTTTTAAATAAAAATAAAATTAATTAAAATAGCAAAAAATTCGAAATTTTTTTTTTTTAAATCAAAAAAATATTACAAAAACGTTTACCATGTGACCACACTAGTATGTATCCTTTATATACATATAGCACGTGGCATAATTTTATACTATACAAACATACGTCTATAGCGTTCAGCTGCTCGTTTGGAAATGCCTAAGAGGCTGCCGTCATAGCAACTATTTTTAGCCGCTTGTCTCGCAGTAACACGAACGTACAGTTATGTGCGAATGTGTGTGTTCACCTTGAAGGCTCGTTCGTGCTTCAAATATAAATAGAAATATACGCACTAGTTCATTTTTTATAATTTATTGCTTTTAACAAATATGGAAAGTCATGATTCATATAAACTTTAAAGAAACAAAACAAATATTTAAAATAAA